GAGTTGCAAAATACAGTTAATAATTTTCTGAAAACAGTAAAACTACTTATCAAACAGTTCGGATATGAAAATGTTTTTAATTCTGATCAAAGTGATTTCCAATTGAAAATTCATTCTGGAAGGTCATTGTCTAATAAAGGAGTAAAGAAAGTAGAGTGTGTTGTGTAATCTATATTATCAACAACACACTTATACACCATACAACCAATAATATCTTGTAACGAAAATTTGCTGTAATCTTTATTTATTGTATTGAAAGAAACTAATGGTATTTGGACTAAGAATATAAAAAAAACCTTGCTTACACCAATAAATGTTATTGTAAAAGCTTTGAAATCTGATAAAATGACTTCAGGTAATTAAATAAATTTTCTTTTACAATACATTTTCAGATACTGTTTTATTATTAAAAAATACAATAAATATAAATTTGCATAAACGAAATAATATAACAAAATTATAAGGCTTATTTCTGTAATATATTTTATATTTTACCTAAGAATTTCATAACATTCATAAAATAGTTATTAATTTAACATTTATATATTTTACAGACCATTTTAAAATGTGATTAGTAGAAGCTCATTTTCCAAACATTAGTTCTAATAACGTTCTTCTTATCGATTCATGGATTGGACATTGTCCCAATATTATTTCAGATTTAACACCTGCAGAAAAACATATTACTACTATGATTATACCAAAAGGCATTACAGAAAATACCATTAGATGTTTACAGATTTAGAATTTGGCAAAATTTTGTTAAAAGATTTTCAGATACTGTTTTATTATTAGAAAATAATATAAATTTACATAAACGAAATATAATAAAATTACAATCTCTGATACATAAGCAATTGTCATCTTCGCGATATCACAACTTATTTAAATATTTGTGATTTAAAAGTAGTTATACAAATGAAAGCCGAAGAAATGAACCAGAAGAATTGAAAGATCCAGTAGAATTTAGTTTTAACAAAAGTTCGACAACATGTGATATCGAAGGTTGCAGTAATATAGCTGTAGTAAAATGTTTATAGTGCAAGAAGTCATTATATTTAAAACATTTTTTCCTTCAATACAATTTTAGTCCGTTACGTGTATAAAGGAGTTCGAGGATTTTAGGCGAGGATTCGTATCAGTAGCGGTGATGTGTACAATACAACGACTTGAAGCTATCTTCTCAAGCCATTTTATTTTCCTTGCTTTGTACTTGCCGTCCTGTTTCATCGGAGTCTCACAATCGAATTTTTCTCTCGCCAAAACGCTCAACTTTCTCGAACCTTCTTTCGTCTCGCAATATTATTTCTGCAGGTCGTTTCCCTTAGATCTTCATATTTATATTAGGTGTACAAAAAAGTTCTGAGCGTTTTTTTGTAAAATTCAATCTTTATTTAAAAACAAAC